TAACACCTGTTATGTTCTGGTTAGCCGGGTGTCTGACACATGCGGAATCACCAGGAATTCATTAGGATTAGGATCCTAATTCCGGAGAGTATTAGGCGCAGGTTGGCGAGAGCCAGGTTTGGGGGGGCCCCAGAGTGTGTGTTGGGGTAACTGCTGGAGTGTAACCCGTAAACCCACACCGCTCGGCCATTGATATCACTGTCCGGCAGCTTTCCCGCTGCTTGTCCAGCAAGGACCCCCCTCCCCGTTAGTTAGGGCTTTGGCTGTGGGGTTACCAGGAGCTGAGGGGGAGGATTCCCGGCCCCCAGTGACTGGTCGGCCCTTCCAGGTCCTGCTGATGAGCCGGGCCGGGCTGTGTGAAAGACTTTATAATAAATGCAAGGATTATTATTATTAATAAGTTGACTGGATGCTTCATGGTTTCTCCCTTCGGTTTGAGTTTATTACTCACCAGAAACTCGTCCCTCACAAAGTACTTGGCCCTCGTTACTCTTGGCTCTTCACCAGGTTCTGGCATTGCTGACAAACAAACAAACACATTAATCAACACACACCCCACAACAACAGCTTGCATTTATTACAATATTAATAATAATCCTTGTATTTAATACAGCGCCTCATCACATCGTCGAGACATCTCAAAGCGCTTCACAGGATATACTGTAAAGTGAATTGACTGTATTTTGTGGGAAAAACACGACAGCCAATTGCGAACAGCAGCGTCCCACACACAGCCGTGGGTTGAGTGACCACATTTTTTGTGAAGGGATTATTATCCCCAGAAACATACACCAATGGACAAACAACCGGGTACCCAGTTACTGCTGGTAAACAGAGGGTGTGGAGTAAGGAAACTTGTCCCAATGTTTCTCCCTGCCGGGAATCGAACCCAGGTGCTCTCACTTGCGAGTGCTCTAACCACTGAGCTACAGGACTCCAGTAATTGCCACCCAGTCTTTAGATCCCCAATACACACCCGCAAACACTCCGCTTCACAGTGGTTCCTGCAAAGAAGGGAGTTTCTCTCTCTCATAAGAACATAGGAACAGGAGGACGCCATTCAGCCCCTCAAGCCTGTTCTGCCATTCTATAAGACCATGGCTGATCTGTACCTCGAGTCCAATTACCCACTTTGCCCCAAATCCCTTGATCCCCTGACCTAACAAACACCTGTCCCCCTCAGTCTGGACAATGTGAACGGATCCACAGCCTCTTGGGGGGGGAGAGAGAGAGAGTAACAGGTGTCCCTCCCTGATCCTGACCAACAAAACCCCCAAATAAAAGTGTGGGAGCGAGTGGCTGCTCATTGCCGGGAGTGTTACCGTCGTCGGGTGTGGTGTAACGTGAATATTCCGGGAAGTAGTCCTCAATCCTGGATTTGCCGGCCAGCACCTTCTCTGCCAGGAGGTCCTGCTTGTTCAGGAAGAGGATGACGGAGATGGTCCGCAGCCACCTGGTGTGACAGGAGAACAAACAGTTACTGGTCACCCATCACCATCAGCCACTTGGGACATCCTCCTGACATGAAGGGCGCTATACAAATGTAATCTTGTTGTTGTGTTGTTGAACACTCCGACACTCTGTCCGTCCTGTGTGAAGACCTCTGTATATATGCAAGTTGTTGTTGTTGTTGTTGTACACTATCCAGACTGGGAGTCAGTGTCAGCACTGTACACAATAACAACAACAATAATCCTTGAGACGTCTCAAAGCGCTTCACAGGATACATTGTAAAGTGAATTGCCTGTGTATTTTGTGTCCCACACACAGCCGTGGATTCAGTGACCAGTTTATTATTTTATTTTGAATTTCTTTGTTTGCTGTTTTTGGAGGGAGGGATTATTACCCCAGAAAAAGTGAACCCCAATCGACTAACAACCGGGTTCCTACTGACTGCTGGTAACCAGAGGCGCGGGGAGGGAGGAAACTTGCCTGAGGTTACGCCCTACCCCCCGGGAATCAAACCCGGGTCCTCTCGCTTACGAGGCGAGGGCTCTGAGCTACAGCCTGCACTATACAGGATGGGAATCACTGGCGTGTTAGTGCATGTGTGTTGGTGAGTAACTGTGTTCTGTTGCGTGTGTGCATTACGGTCTCTGTGAGCGTCTTGGTGCAGTATATGTTCTAGTGTGCGTGTGTTCTGATGTGTGTGTGAGCGGGAGAAAGTGTGTTCTAGTGTATGTGAGTGTGTTCCAGTGTGTGTGAGTATGTTGTGGTGTGTGTGTTGTGGTGTGTGTGAGTGTGTCTGACACACACGGAAACCCATCACTTACTTCAGAGTCTCCAAACCCAACTGAGAATTCCCCACATTCCCCCAGAGAGAGATTAGACTAGTTGGTTGGTTGTTGGTTCACATATCTGTGAGTAAGGGCGGGGGAGTGGGGATGGAATGCGCTCTCTCTCTCTCTCTCTGGAGGGACACATCCTGTTGACCTAATTCCGGACAGATTTAGGCGCAGGTTGGCAGAGCCAAGGTTGGGGGGGCCCCAGAGTGTGTGTTGGGGTAACTGCTGGAGTGTAACCCGCTAAACCCACACCGCTCGGCCATTGATATCACTGTCTGGCAGCTTTCCCGCTGCTTGTCCAGCGAGGACCCCCCTCCCCATTAGTTAGGGCTTTGGCTGTGGGGTTACCAGGGGCTGAGTTAAGTTTAAGTGGGTTTAGTGAAGGTAAGTATGGAACGTACTGCCTGAGAGGCTGACGGAAACAGATTTGATGGAGGATTCCAAAGGGAATTGGATAGGTGAAAAAGAAAAAATTGCAGGGTTATGGGGTAAGAGTGGGGGAGTGGGACTAGTTGGGGTAAGGGCGGGGGAGTGGGACTAGTTGGGGTAAGGGCAGAGGAGGGGGACTAGTTGGGGTAAGAGTAGGGGAGTGGGACTAGTTGGGGTAAAAGCGGGGAGTGGGACTAGTTGGGGTAAGAGTGGGGGAGTGGGACTAGTTGGTGTAAGGGCGGGGGAGTGGGACTAGTTGGTGTAAGGGCGGGGGAGTGGGACTAGTTGGGTAAGAGTGGGGGAGTGGGACTAGTTGGGGTAAGGCGGGGGAGTGTGGACTAGTTGGGGTAAGAGCGGGGGAGTGGGACTAGTTGGGGTAAGAGTGGGGGGAATGGGACTAGTTGGGGTAAGGGTGGGGGAGTGGGACTAGTTGGGGTAAGGGCGGGGGAGTGTGGACTAGTTGGGGTAAGGGCGGGGGAGTGGGGACTAGTTGGGGTAAGGGCGGGGGAGTTGGTAGCTCTTTCAAAGGGTCGGCACAGGCACGAGGGGCTGAATGGCCTCCTTCCTTCTGTTGCTGTAAGATTCCGGTCTCTCACCTGTTGTTCCAGATGCTTTTGAAGAGATCGAGAGCTTCCCGCAGTCTGTTGGTGTTGTTGTCTTCTCTTATCACCATGTTATAGCTGCTGCTCGCCACAACGAAAATAATAGCCGTCACATCTGTGGCCGTGAGGGAGGGAGGGAGGGAGAGAGGGAGGGAGGGAAGGAGAGAGGAGCGAGGGAGGGCGGGAGAGAGGGAGGGAGAGAGGGAGGGAGGGACGGAGAGAGGAGCGAGGGAGGGCAGGAGGGAGTGAGTGAGGGAAGGAGGAGGGGAGTGAGGGAGGGAGGGAGGGAGGGAGGGAGGGAAGGAGGAGGGGAGTGAGGGAGGGAGGAGGGAGGGAGGGAAGAGCCACGGCAGACAATTGGGTCCAGTCGGGAGGGAAGAGAACAAGAACGACAGGATTACTGTGAGAAAGACACAGACTCAGAGAAACCACCATCACCGGACATTCAGCTGATAAATCACTTATAACAAGTAACATGTGCACAGCCTCTGCCGCTCACGTCAGGAGGGCATCCCAACCACTGGACAGTCGGGGATTTGGACCTGAGCTGGGGGTTGGGATCGGGAGGGGGAGGGTGGGGGTAGGAGGGTGACCGAAGGCGCAGTCGAAGAAGAGCATCTTGAGGGAGGCAAGGGAGGGGGCGAGGGCGGGGGCGAGGGTGGGGATGAGGGAGGGGGCGAGGGTGGGGGCGAGGGCGGGGGCGAGGGTGGGGGCGAGGGAGGGGTGAGGGAGGGGCGAGGGTGGGGGCGAGGGTGGGGATGAGGGAGGGGCGAGGGTGGGGGGCGAGGGCGGGGGCGAGGGTGGGGGCGAGGGAGGGGTGGGGGCGAGTGTGGGGGCAAGGGAGGGGGCGAGGGTGGGGCGAGGGAGGGGCGAGGGTGGGGGCGAGGGACGGAGCGAGGGTGGGGGCGAGGGAGGGGGCGAGGGAGGGGGCGAGGGTGGGGGCGAGGGACGGAGCGAGGGTGGGGGCGAGGGAGGGGCGAGGGAGGGGGCGAGGGTGGGGGCGAGGGAGGGGCGAGGGAGGGGGCGAGGGTGGGGCGAGGGTGGGGGCGAGGGGGGGGCGAGGGAGGGGGCGAGGGTGGGGCGAGGGAGGGGTGAGGGAGGGGCGAGGGAGGGGGCGAGGGTGGGGCGAGGGAGGGTGAGGGAGGGGCGAGGGTGGGGGCGAGGGAGGGGGCGAGGGGGGGGGCGAGGGTGGGAGGGGGCGAGGGAGGGGTGAGGGAGGGGCGA